ATAACTATATATTCTCCTAGTGAATTCTCATCCCTTCAAACCAAAAATATATCAATGAGTGCTTCCTTAATGAGGAGCACTGCTCAAAAAAAAAAATCAGAGTTTCTTGTTTATTTTTCTTCATCAAACCTTATTAACTTTGCACAGCTATAAAGATGGATTTTCCCCTAACTAAGAGCCCTACAAACTTACCCTAGGATCTGAAAAGTCAGCTCTGTTCTTTCTGGTTTGTATAGCCTCATCAGTAAATAAAGATTCTGCAGGCCAAATGTTACCCTCAATGGCACCTATGTAGCTCATCCATGTGATTGCATAGGTGGGTGCAATATAGACCTGGAACTGAAATTTAGTTAACAATTTTCTGTTAGTGCACACCAGAATAGAATGTCACTTGCTCCCCAACAGCTGAGTTAGCTCTGTGATGCAGTAAAACTGCATTCTGGTCAGTAAAGGCAGTAGACATGACTAAATACAGTAGATCTAGTGAACATGATGTTGCTATAAATGACCATAACCGCACTTTCATATCTGGCAATGGAATCTATTCAAATTGGCAGCCCTCCAGACTCTCTAACTACTGAATTTCACTTCTAATTTGTTGCTTCCTGAAAACAATGTAGGAAAGCTCACCTTCAGAATTATGATAAACTGACTCTATTGCAACTGCCCTGTCATCTGCGATAATGTACATTCAGGATCAGTGTCCGAGATGAGGTGGAGAGTTCTATTTCTAATCACCAGCAAGGAAGAGGTTAATTCCCAGGTTAGCTCAGACACAGGTGTGCAGAATGGAGTGACAAAGAAGAACTGCTCAGGAAGTTGCAGATGAAACATTGTAAAAATTACTATAGAGGAAATACCACTTTAGTCTTTTCAGAGGGGAACAGTAATACACTCAGTTATTAACCCAATAATGTGTGTATCTTAAGACTAAAAATAAAAGGTGTGGTGAGGCTTTTCTTTTGTTGTTGAACCACTCTACTATTTTGTATGCTTTGGGGGCTTTATTCCAGGCCTTAAAAGTGTCTTGTTATTTAAAGCAAATATGTGAATTCATCAGATGTAAAAGATGCTAGATTGATTAAGCGGAAGGTTTAAGTCTTCTATTAGCCATAGAACAACAGAATGATTTCCATGCTGTCTCTCCATTACTCTCTTAACTCTGATTCCAAAGGCCCATCTCAAACAGTCTGGAGTCATTTGAGTCTCTATGGTTGGGTTTGAACTAGGACTTTCATCTGTAATTTCTCACCTTTGCTACCATTAGTTCAGCTGCACCAGTAGCAGCAATGGAAGAAGAGAGAGTGTAGGCAGAGCTCCAAGAGGTTGCCCGTGATTTAAGCACAGGGCTGTCTAATCTTAGTCAAAGCAGGTCAGATCAATCAAAATACCCCTAGCCATCAAGGCCTTCTCCATGCCAGAGCTCCCATCGCTACTACCAACAGGGGAGATGAAGCAATCATAGCAATGGTGAGAAATTCTAGGCAAAAAAGAGACAATATCTCAGCTTCTTCGTTTAAGGGTGGAGGAAGCTCCTAATCCACTTCTCTAGGTCCTCCACGGGAGACTTCCAGTAAAATAGGGAAAACAAGATGACATGCTTGATATTTCTGAAATAAAAAACAAAACAAAGCCTTCTGGTCTTGCTTTATACATAATCAAATAAACAAACAGACATTTACCGATTTTCCCCCTCCCAGTTACCTTTAAATCTGCTGAAGGCTGGGAGGGGAAGGGGAATGACAAGGAATGCTGAAAAAGTAGTACAACCTAATTCTCTTCCCCACAGACTTCACCAAAAGCCTGATTCTTCCCTACCTCCTCATGCTGAGTATTACCTTATTGCAGGAATGGTCCCAATGAAGTCAGTGGGACTATTCCTGGAGTAAGGTATTACTTACCATGAGTAAAGAGTAAGCACAATTAGGCCTTAAGTGGGTGAAAAAATTGGCTGTCTGAATTTACAGCTGACTCAGCAGCAGATTCATTACTAATAAGTAAATAAAAGCACTCAAACAGCCTCAGAACTTAAACCCAAAGCTGAGTTTGCTCAGAAGCTAACTGCATTTTGTTGTTGTTGAGTCCAGCCCTCTGGCAGGGAGGGGGGGAATTAGAACCCAAATTTATTTGATGAAAGTGTAGAAATACTACCCCAAAGAACTCAGGAAAAGACGCAATAAGACCAAACAAGCAGGATACACCAGAGAAGCATTAGCTAAGAGATGGTTTTCATGAACTCCACAATGATACATTTTAAAACACACAGTTTTAATAAAGGAAAATTGCTCAGCAGATTGTTTTGATTTCTATAGGTGTCTGACTTTGAAAATGAGCTATTGTCACCACTTCACTGGATATTGGGAGGAAGAAACCAAGTTGCTGGTAATTCCTTTGTATTTTAAATAGGGAATAATTATTGCATGGGGCAAAGATAATTACTAAAAAATAAAAGGAACATTTATATTTTCTGACCCCAAAAGCAATTTGGTTTTATAATTAAATTTGTGTTTATTTGTTTTTCCTTCACTCTGTAGCTTTTCTAAGTACCTCACAGGGCAAAAGGGACAAATGACTGATAAACGGAAACAATGTTTAGGAAAACTCCCAGCACTGTCATTTTAACACAGAGGACACTTTCAGGCTAGGGAATGAAATCTAGTAGTGTTCCTATCCAAGTTCTAAAGACAACAAAAAAATCCCTTCTCCTTGACTTCAGGGGGCTGCTTCTTGTTGTTTCACAATCCTAATCTGTACAGATCAAGATGACATTAAATATTTTTAACTATAGTAAATATCTAACAATAGTAAAGATTTCTTTTATTATTAGGACATGATCCTGCATTCCTAACAGACCCCAGAAAACCTCTCATTGGTGTCAATGGAAGTACTGGATGCACTGGGACAGCTGATTATGGGTTTACTGGGTTAGAGTCTGACTTGCCCATATATGGGTATAAGGGATGGTAAGACCCCACCTCTTTTGCCCCTGTGTGTAACAGGACCCTGGGTTCCTGTACATAGGAGTAAACCGATACTGGGCACCTGCTGCTCCCCCAGCTCCCTAGCAGGAGGGCAGAGAGTGGGTTAAGCCTTGGGTTTGATCTCAAAGCACCAGCCAGGACAGGGGTAGTAATTTTCATTTTTATAGAAGCAACAAATTACCTCCTCTCCCCAGAGTGATGAGGGAGGAAACTGCTTCTCGGATACATGATTCTATCCCTGCACTGCTCCTGAGATGACACATTAACATGTTTCCGCATCACAGGGCTTGTAGTAAAGCCCAGCCCACTGTGTTGAACAGTACTTGTTAAAAATGACATTGTGGTTAAAAATGCTGCTTTTTTTTTCTGGTCAGAGTGGCCCTACTTTCTCCCACTGAAATCAATGTGAGTTTTGCCATTTATTTTGGGTAGGAGGAGAATCAGACCATACCTCTCCCATGTGGAATTTTATCTGCATCTTGGGTAAGTCGCAGATAATAATAAATATCATGGTAGACAGATACTTTATGCTTGTGATTTCTTACAGGTGATTTGTTAAGAAAAGAAAAGCTAGTGAATGTAATTGATATGCCTGGCCCCACACGCATGCCCCGAGCATTCACATTGGCAGAGAATGCAATTCCCCAATGTAAGACATATAATGATAGTACTTAGCACTTCTATATGCTTTTCATCCATCAGTCTGAAAGGACTTTACAAAGGAGAAGTATCATTATCTTTACCAATGAGAAATGGAGACACAGAGGCAAAGTGACTTCTCCAGGGAGATATCCTGTCATATGTTTTGACAGCAGTTACTAGCAACTGTTTTAAAAGAGTTGACAAATGGGCCAAATCTCATGACTACCCTGAATCCTCACTTCTTCAGCATGATTATTCCAGCACCAGAACAATTTGGACCTCCTCCCCCGCCCTTTGGTACAAAGATAGTCAAATGTGTACCGGTAATCATCCAATCTCTGGCCTTTCCCATGGTTTCTCTGAGGAGACAAGATGTATGGGAATTGAATGAGTTAGGATTTTATTTATGGATGGTTGGGAAATTATTTTTGTCAATATAGACCCTTCTGATGTAATTTTGTGTATATTTCATTAAGAATAATAGGTATCGTAGGTAGTAGACAGCCATTTTTAATAAATCTAAACAATATGTACAGTTAAGTAATATGTTCTAAGAGCAGTGCACAGGATATGATCTCTGCTTAAATGCAGGCCAAATTGCTTTATTTTGGTCTTGTTTATTTCAGCACTAAAAGCTATTTTAAGAATATAGAAAACTTCACACTGCAGAAACTCCAGTAAGAAGCTATCTCCAGACAGAGGCTCCAAGGTAGCAATACCCCTCAGTGAGGATGCTCTTGGTAGCAATATATGTTCACATTCTCTAGTAACTGATGTTCCCTCTACTCCCTTCCAAAAAAATGCCACATGCCTTTCAGAAATGCAGGAAGTGAAGACAGCTATGTTGAAGAGCTTACCTCTCTTGCACCATAGACCAATTCCTAGTTCCACCAAGGTCCATGGGAGTTTTGCTGTTGATTTCATTGGGATCATCATCTGGGTCTAGACAATTATTATCATCATTTATCTGGGTAAATTCAATATACAACCAAGGCTCGGGACTTTGAATAATATATTATAGCACTTTTGCTGGAGGGTCTTAAAACACTTTGCAGGCACTAGCTGATTTAGCTTAGACACATCTCTGAGGCAGAGAGGTAGCATTAGTCCCATTTTACAGACGGGGAAGTTGAGGCTCTTAGGAGTGGTGGGGCGCCTCAGATGAGAAGACAAGGCACTGGCAGAGGGGGGGAGGGGTAGAACCCCTAAGGCCTGATTGCCGCCTGGCAGGTCTACGCCCTACGACCCCGCATTGAATCGCGTTGGGCGGCGGCGGCGCTGGAAGCTGCGGCCCTGGTAGCCGCTGCTACAGCGGGGAACACACCCCCACAGCCCGCTCGGAAGTGAGCGCTGTCTCTTTAAAGCCAGGGACGGTCACCTGACTGCTCACGTCACGCGGTGCCCCAGCCAACATGGCTGCGCCCAGGGCAGGGCGAGCTGTCCTGAGCTGCCGCCGCTGGGTTCTGGTGCTGGGCTTGGCGCTGTGCTCACTTCCCGGGACGGCTGCGAGCTCCTCCTTTTCCAACACGGCGGCCTCCAAGGGGACGTGCGGCTGCAGCTCGGGCCGAGGGAGCGGCGGGGAGGCGGCCGCGGCGGCGGCCCGGAGGTATTCTCCGGAGGCCAATGCCCCAAGTCCGGCCGTGGGGCCGGTCACCCGCAAGGGGCCAGCTGCGCACAGTCAGGTGGGCGAGGCCTACAGCTGCCCGTGGGAGGAGCGGAGGGGAACTCAGCGAGCTGGGGGGAGGGAGAGCGAGCGGGAGGCCAGGGTTAAGGGGGTGGTTTAGAGCCTGCTGCTGCGTTCTGGTCCAACCAGGGCTTCCTCTCTCGATTTGGAATGACGTGTCTCCTGGCTCTGACCAGGTGGTAGTGCTCCCAGGATTTTGGTTTGGGATGACAAGGGCCTTGTAAATGGCTAAGTGCTCAAAGCAACTTCCTTTATTAATTTATTTGACTTCTCGAGAACAGCTGATCTTAGACATGAGTGCTCCTACATCATTTAAAATATACAGCGCAGAAGACCAAAATACATGATAAGCTGTCCAAACGTGACAGCCTAGACTAGAATATGCGCCATAACTAATGTTGGGGCATGGGTAACTAGACTTGCATAGTAAGTTCTTCTGCAGTTTGTAAAAGAGCCATGCTATAGTAGCACACTGATATGTTCTTCACTTGATTGATATCAGATGGTAGGATGTCAAGAGCTTATGTATGATTTGAGGCCGGATTGATTTTGACTTAGCTGGGAAGTTTAGTGTAAACAGTCTGGGTAATGTGATTAGCTTAATGGAAATGTGTATTAGTGAGTAAAAGCAGTCTAGACTTTAGATTAGAATGTTATGTGTTGAGAGGTTAGAAAAGAGAACAAAAGTTAATGGCAGTATGCATACTATGTGCCTTTGACTCGAATACTGTACTCAACTCAGCTGTAGTTGCTTTGTTCTAAATGCTACCTAGTTGTTCCAGAAAAATGCAATGAAAACTGACTAGTATTGGACGCTATAGCAATATATTGCTATAAGAAGGATGTTATTAAACAAGTTATTTAGTCTAGAGAGAAGCAATACATTCTAAAAATATGAAGGAGAACTCCTTTGTAGGTTATAATCAACTTGCGGAACTCCCTGTTTGGGATAACCATGAGATAAGGTAGCTTTGCAAAATTCTGAAATATATGTGTTCATATGAGCACTTAGAACCAGATCCTCAATTGCCGGAAACTAGTGTAACTCTATTGATTTCAGAAGAACTATGCTGATTTGTGCTAGCTGAGGATCTGGTCGTTAACATTTTTGTTACTCGACCGTTTTGACCTAGCTATCTGCCATAAGAATGGCCATACTGGGTCAGATCAATGGCCCCTCTAGCCATGTATCCTGTCTTCTGACAGTGGCCAGTGCCAGATGCTTGAATGGGAATGATCAGAATAGGGCAGTTATTCAAGTGATCTATCTCCTGTCATCCAGTCCCAGCTTCTGGCAGTCAGACGTTTAGGGACAGCCAGAGCATGGGGTTGCGTTCCTGACCATCTTGGTTAATAGCCTATCCTCCGTTAACTTATCTTTTTTTGAACCTAGGTATATTTTTGGCCTTCACAACATTCTCTGGCAATGAGTTCCACAGTTGACTGTATTGTGTGAAGAAGTATATCCGTATGTTTGTTTTAAACCTGCTGCCTATTAATTTAATTGGGTGACCCCTGGTTCTTGTGTTATGTGAAGGGATAAATAACACTTCTTATTCACTTTGTCCACACTGTTCATGGTTTTGTAGACCTTTCCCTTAGTCGTCTCTTTTCTAAGGTGAACAGTCCCAGTTTTTTTAATCTCTCCTCATATGAAAGTTGTTCCATATCCATAATCATTTTTGTTGCCCTTCTCTGTACCTTTTCCCATTCTAATACATCTTTTTTGAGATGGGGTGATCAGAACTGTACGTAGTATTGAAGGTCAGGCCTACTATGGACTTATATAGTGGCATTGATATTTTCTGTCTTCTTATCCTTTCTTAATGGTTCTTAACATTCTGGCAGCTTTTCTGACTGCTGCTGCACGTTGAGCAGATGTTTTCAGAGAACTATTCACGATGACGCCAAGATCTTTCTTGAGTGGTAACGGCTAATTTGGACCCTGTCATTTTGTATGTATATTTGGGATTATGTTTTCCAGTGTACATTACTTTGCATTTATCAACATTGAATTTCATCTGCTGTTTTCTTGCCGTCACCCAGTTTGGTAAGATCCCTTTGTAACTCTTCACAGTCAGCTTTGGATTTAACTATCTTGAGTACTTTCGTATCATCTGCAGACTTTTTTGCCACCTCACTATTTACCCCTTTTCCAGGTTACTTATGAAAATGTTGAGCAGCACTTCCCCTAGTACAGATTCTTGGGGGACCATGCTTTTTCTCTCTTAGCACTGTAAAAACTGACCATATATTCCTATCCTTTGTTTCCTATCTTTTAATCAGTTACTGATCCATGAGAGGATCTTCCCTTTTATCTCATGACTGCTTTCTTTGCTGAAGAGCCTTTGGTGTGGGACCTTGTGAAAGGCTTTCTGAAAGGCCACTAGATCAGCCTTGTCCACATGTTTATTAACGTGTCTCCCCCTCCCCCCCCAGAATTCTAATAGATTGGTGAAGCATGATTTCCTTTTACAAAAGTAATGTTCCTTTCAAGAAATCGTGTTCATCTGTGTAGGTGATAATTCTGTTTTCTACTGCAGTTTAAACCAATTTACCTGATACTGAAATTATGCTTACTGGCCTGTAATTGCCAGGATCCTCTCTGGAGCCTCTTTTAGAAATCTGTGTTACATTAGCTGTCCTCCAGTCATCTGTAACAGAGGCTGATTTAAGTGATAGATTACATGCTATAGTTAATTGTCCAATTTCATATTTGAGTTTCTTCAGAACTCTTGGGTGAACATTATCTGGTGACTTATTACTGTTTAGTTGATCAATTTGTTCCCAAACCTCTTCTGTTGACATCTTAATCTGGGACAGATTTGTCACCTAAAAAGAATGGCTCAAATGTGGAAATCTCCTTCACACCCTTTGCAGTGAAGATGGATGCAAAAAATTCATTTAGTTTCTCTGCAACGACCTTGTTTTCCTTGAGTTCAATCTTCATTTTTAAGTTAGAAGCTAAGATTTTTATTCGTTATTAGATGAACAGGTTCTTGAATCCATTAACTAATTTTAGGAATCTGTTTCCCTTCAGTGCTGAACACCTCCACGCTCACTGTCAGTCAGTGCTTCTCGGCTCAAATGGGTGCCAAGAGGCCACTTGTCACTTTGACACTATCACCTGCAATCAAAAGATGATTGTATTCCGAAACAGTGGCTTGCTTGAGCCATAAAATGAGTGGTGGTGTTGTAATTAGAATGTATCAGGGAGTAGCCGTGTTAGTCTGTATCCACAAAAACGTAAAGACTAACAGATTTATTTGGGCATAAGCTTTCGTGGGTAAAAAACCCTCACTTATGAGAAGTGAGGTTTTTTTTACTCACGATAGCTTATGCCCAAATAAATCTGTTAGTCTTTAGGTGCCACCGGACTCCAAAAGTCCCATGTTGGGCACTGGACTTGGAGGACATGATAGAAGTCTGTGGCGCATAGATAAGCGAGTGCCTGCATGATATGCAAATATTGGGTTCAAAAGGAAGGCTTTTAAAGGCCACATCAGAGTCTGCATTGATAACAGGGCATCTGTCAAAATTCTTTAGATTGTGGGGTGACATGATCACTGAGCTGTAAAGTAAAAGGCTTTGTTTTTCATGTACTGACAACTGACTAGCAAGCTCAAAATCTGTGACTCCCAAGCCTGCTCAGAGTACTTATTTTAGCTTCAGTGAGTCAGCAAGAGATTAGAAGGTAGGCAGTTATATAGCTCTGATCGTGTCCCATTGCGGCTTTCTTTAAGTCCCCAGGAAACTTAGGAGTGACTTCTTATCCGGAAACCCACTTGCAGTGAGACAAGTGCAAACACCCAGACTGCTGTTGAGTTGAAGATGATTCATAAGCATTTAGACTCCTTTCTGTAAGATCAACTTCAAATTTAGTCAGTTTAAAAAAAAACAACAGCCAGCTGAAAAGTAATTTCAGGTACTCTGTTGGCCTTGAGTTCCCTTTGCCTACTGTGTGGTTTTACAACAACTTCTGTCGTCTTGTAAAAGATGTTAAATGTTGCTGTGAAGGAACCGAAACAAAAATGGAAGTCTACTGTAGAGAAGGTAAACAGTGAAGCTGGCTGGACACAGTGCTGTTAAATGAACAAAGTAAACTGAAGAATAGAGAAGTAGGAATTGGACAGGGAACATAAACTCCTCCATTGCCCATTACTGTGTCCAAATAGTTATACCCGGTAGCATCACTGTGAGCTAACAATACAAGACTAGAATTCTGCAGAAATGGAAGGCCACCGATTCTCAATGTTCTCAGCTTCATGGTGCATCAGCATGGAAGTCCAAGTAAGCTTCTGTCTGAGAAGGGTATCCATGGACATTACAGATGAAAGACAACTTGATGGCTTCCTTTATGTGTTTATTTTACAGTAACAATTACCCTTGTAATGTAGGTCACACTGCAGGATGGATATCCTAACAAAGGCCACAGCTGCTGTTGGGTTTTTATTCTGCAATGAAGCATCAGTCTATTCATTTTCGTAAATAATAAACGTTTAAAATGGAAAACAGAAAGTTAAGTACTTTAAGTCCATATTGGGCCTAATTTATAATGATGGGTATTGTGGAGAAAGGTTCTTTGTATCTTAACTGTATAACTCCCCATATTTAAGATCCAATGGACTTTTCTCCATCTTATTGTAGTTCTAACTCAACCACTCTAGAAGTGTGGCTTATGTATGCAGATCTCAGGAACTGTCTCTGAGAAAGGGCATCTATATCCCTTGCCCTCTTAGACTTCAAAGAGTTATCAATCATGAGGGAATCAAAACTGCTGTCTGCTTGTTTCAAGAAGATATATCTCCTGCTAGATTCTGTTGTGTTGGCTCTGCTAGTTTAGGTTTTTTGGGTGCTGTTCTGCAGTTGCTTTTCCAATTGAACTCCTGTTAAGTCCAATGTGAGTTCTGCATGAGTGGTCACAGGATGGGGCCCAAGTCTCTCTTGATCACTTTCAGATGTAATGAAAACAAGGCTTGTAGACCTGACAGGGTTGGGAGGGTGAGTATTGTGCAAGTCAGCCCTCAACAATTCCACTCATCTACTTGTGTCATGGAAGTTAATTGTGGAGGGGAATGGTGCTTAGAAGGGAGCCTCTCTCTTGATGTGCTCAGGAACATCATGGAGGGAGGAAGGAGGTCAGACCCTGCATACAGACTGACAAGTACGATAACTTTTTTTTGTTTAGTGACCTGTTATCAAAGGCTGATGCCAACTGTCCCAGTTTGTTTTGCCATTGAGTTATAAATCTGAGATGCAACTCCCTATTCCAGCCCAGGTTTCTTACTGAGGCATCAACACCACTGTTGTGTATAGAAAAACATCCAGTGGCAACTCTAGATTTAAACCTACCTATCCAGATCTAACTGGCTATTGCTTGAATCCACTCCTTCTCCAACAGGGTGGATCTAAATTGAGTAAAAAAACAAACAAACCTTAAAAAAGATTTCTTAAATTTAAGTTAAATACATTTTTCTTTTTAAAATGTGACATTATGCTCAGATTCTTAATTTTTACTTTATTACATTAGAAAATGGTGTCTGGTGCATTTTTTTTTAATCTGCTAGATGATTTTTACTTGTGATTTGTTTCAAGAAATTGTTTAATAGAAACTGAAATTATATTGCAAATGCATAAATGTGTATAGATACAGTTTATCTGCTGATTAGCAAAAAGTGCATTTAGTGTAAAGGTCATATTTAGTTATTACAATCACCAATAAAATCTTTCTTTAGCAAAATAATTTTAAAAGTACAAATGCAAAATAAGATTAAAATCTGATTTTTAAATCAAGGTTCTTGTGTTGACTGAAATCATGAAATCAGCCCCCACCTTGAACTCAACAAGGCAAGTATTTAAACAGGAAAAGGAAGGGTTTGGTGGCTCTTAGAGGGATGGGAAAAGGACTCTCTCTTGTTTCATCCCCATGGGGAATGGAGCCAAGAGCCTGCCAGAGTCAGGTGGCGGGGTAGTGGTGGTGGGAGAACTGTAGGAGCAACCTGCTTTTCATTTGCTGAGGACTGCATGCTGCTTCAAGGGTCTCTTGGGTGAGACTATGTGATCTCTTGTCAGTTTGTTGATAGGGACTGACTGGAGCCTGCCCGGGGTTTAGCAGTGGAGTCTTTTGCAGTGACACACATCTGGGGGAAGCCTGGGTGTGTCTTCCCTAGGAGCCATAAAGTGACATTATAACTTGAGATAGAGTTGTGGCGTTCCTTCATGGCATTGTGTCTTTACTTCCTGAGCCTGATGCTACAGCTCCAGACCAACCTTGCACAGTTGGAAATATTAATTGATTGTAAGCTTACCATATATCTTTTTTGATGCAATGTTGAGATGCAGGCACTGTCTCTACCTGAGGCAGTGATGAAATGCTGTACATATCAATCATAAATAAAATCCCATATACACTTAGTATGCAAACAGGTAGGCTGTGCTTTGTCCTCAAAAGAACACTTTGCAGCTTCATAATCTCCATGCTGTCCATCTACATGTCAAGTTTTCTCTCTGCACCAGATTGAAAACTCAGGATTTTTCCTTTTGCAATGAGCAAGATGCAATTTTCATTGATGGCCTCTTTAGACTTCACATTTAAAAAGGAGGCACAGTGACAGATGGCATCCTTCTCTCTAATCTGGAGATGGGTCTGGACCTAAGCAGTGGTCTGAAATCCCTGGGAACTCTGTGAGAGTGGGATAGATTGGAGACAATCTCAATCTCAACTTACTTTACTTTTAAACCTAGAACCTTCCAGATATTATAATTGTTAATCACTGAACTATTTTCTAGCCATGAAGAAAGTGTTGTTCAAGGCAGTGTTGACCCTCATTCCTCCAGTCTATGATGGAAAAACAATGGCAAACTCTATTTAACTTAGGACTGAAAATAACTACAGTCATTTTTATCTGTTTCCATTGCAGATGGCCCTTATTCCAACAGGAATGTTCACAATGGGTACTGATGAACCTGAAATACAGCAAGATGGGGAATGGCCTGCTAGAAAAGTCCATGTTAGCCAGTTTTATATGGATCGGTATGAGGTCAGCAATGTGGAGTTTGAGAAATTTGTAAATGCCACTGGCTATGTTACAGAGGTAAGAGGAAAGCTACTGTACCTTCTATAGTGGGATTAGGTGTATGTCAGAGAACCCTTCTGGGAAATTCAGGCTGAACTCTTTTCCCAAAGGAGGCCACATTATACATTTTGCTTGTAGATTTTCAGGCCCTGGAAACAAATATATTATACCGAAATTGGTGGCAAGATGAAACACTTTTTGCTTTTAACCTCTTCTAGATGGGAAGGGGCCCCACAAAAGGGGCTGTTGACCCCCTGCAAAAGTCTTTTACACAGTATTTAGTTAGTTTACTGAGGAAAATAATCTTAAACTGAATAGACTGCAGACAGCACATGCTGAAGACCTTGGCCCAAACTCATGCCTGATGTGACTCCGTTTACTCCAGTAGCATTAGACCAGATATGAATATGGTGTGTTGTATTTCCAGCAGGGCTCTAGCTATCTGAATTCAGGCAGGCTTTCTTTAGTTTGGGCAAAGCAATGAAGACTGAGTGAGGGTGATAACCAAGTACCTGTCTATAATTGTGTCTTGGTGTAGTTAGGCTGATGTAGCAGGGAAACCCCCCAATGTATATGTTCTGAGTTGGTGCGGGTTAACCTAGCAAGGCATGCCACTACAAACCCTACTTTTACTGGTGCTGCTCATCAGCATGAGTTAGGACCAGCGTAGCTATGCCAGTATGTATTCTTGGTATAGACAGGCCCTGATTGAGATTGCTAAATGCTTGCTTTTAGCAAACCATCTTAATGTGTCTAGGGAGGAGTTTAAGACACAGTACTCCAGACAGTGAGACAGCTGGAGAAACTGCAGGCTGGCCAAACACAGCTGCTTTTTAGCAATCTGGGCAATACAAGGTTTGTTGCTTGGTATCCATTCCTCTTCTGAGAAACCATAACCCACTCTGGAGGCCCTGATCTTTTCTGTTAGTTCAGAAGCTGTGGTAACATGCCTGATGTGCTTTCTGTAATACATGTAAGCCATATAGCCAAAATCAAGTTATCAGTAACTATTCAGGCCTGAGAGGAGGCCCGCTCTTGGAAGCAGAATCTTATTGATAAACTGGTTTGGACGACGAGAATCCCTTCACCCTTCTTGCATAAAGTTCAGGCAGAGGGCTGTTCTTGTATCAGTGGAACCAATTTGTACTCACTGGGCTGTTGGCTCAGTAATTGAGGTAAAGTCACTTAATCCACTTAAGTTTGAACGCGGGATCTTCATTGCAAACAGCTTCTGGAATGTGCCTTACACTCCAGTGCCCATTGTATTATCTTGTGGGATGAAATCTATTTCTGGCTCTGCTTGATGATTTCAAATGGAATGGGTAGATGTTCCACTCAACACCCTGGCACAAGGCCACTTTGTACATAGGATTTGGAAAAATATACTCAGAGCTAGAGTAAACAGCACTGAATCCATAGGCTCTTGAGAAGCAGCCGAGCTGTTGTCTTTAAAAACATTTGTCTGCATAACTGATTTATCTCGGGTAATCAGAATACTAGCTTAATTAGTTTTTCTTCTCCAGCAAAAGGCTAGCTTGGGCTCCAGTATGGCCAATAGTGATTATTTTCTGTAACTTTTTGTTTACGCACAAGTTGCAATCTTCAGATGCTCATAAATCCTGTTAAATCAAAATGAACTTTTTTTTTCAACAAGTTAAGGAACTAATCCTCAGTGAAGACCTCTGTCAAGATCAAACTTCACGCACTCTAGTTCGAACCCTGTCCCTGAAAAAAGTGGCTGGAAATTCTTCAGATGGGAAAGGGATTGAGGGAGGAAAAGGGATTTTTTACATACACCCCCCCCCCCCTTTCCTGTTGCTAAGCCAAATGGCTGAACGGCTGAACGGATTTTGTCCAAACTCTGCACAATCTGGATTTTGAGTGGTGAACGTATGGGGATCTTCAGTCCCAAAATTGATTCTTCCAGAAAGTTGTTAGAATGTGGAAACAAGGTTACAATGGAAGCAGTTTTGCAACCCTGACTACAGTGGGCACAGCTGTGTGGCCTGTTTTGATAAACTCAAGCAATGAAGTAGAAAGATAGTCATTGGCTACCAGTAACCTATTTAGACTCTCCTAATAAACCAACCCAGGTATTAAAATACTTTTTGCTGTGCTCGTGCACCTCATGTATTGTGAGTTAGCGAAATGGCTAATCACTTTTGTTTTTCCTCCTGATAATGAGGTGGCTTTGTAGAATGTTAAGATAAATAGATTAAATTGAATAGTCCTCTATGGGTTTTGTGCCAATACCTTAGTATGTGGAGCCAGTGAGCATTGAGAATGAGTAAACCATGCCACTTAATTATTTTCATATGATTTCCAAAGTAAAGGAAGGTTAATGGAATAGATTCCTTACTATTAATATTATGTACATCGCAGTATTGATTTTTAAAAGCAAATCAGGACAATTAAAAACCTTTCCAATTAATAGCTGTAGAAATGTTTGCAGGTCTTCTTTGAGCTGCCATCTGTTCCACTAATTCAGTCAGTCTGCACTTTATCTCAGTGACTGTTAAAGAACAACTATATCCCTGGGTAATTTGGCCTTTCATCCACTGTACTTCTGCTCAGTATATTGTTTGCTTTAAAGCAAACTCAGAATTCCTATTAGAATTAAATTAAGTCTATTATCTCCTTAATGCTTCCATTTGATGCTTTCTTAACACTTCCAGTGGACTCTTACAATCTGCTTGAATTCAGTATGTTGTTTTTTTTCCTTCTAGGCAGAGAAATTTGGAGACTCCTTTGTGTTTGAGGGTATGTTGAGCGAACAAGTGAAGACTGAAATCCAGCAAGCAGTGAGTAATGTGGTTTACAACTGGTAGAGAGCCTGACTAGTGACCACAAAGAGGGATGCTTTAATACTTGAGGCAATAGTATTAAGCTGTGCTGTGTACCCTAATCCATTTTCAAGAATATTGGGATCTGCAATGGGGATTTGAATTTCAGTAAGACAAAGAGGAGAATAATAGGCTTTGAGGGTTGGGTAGTAAGGAGGGTTAGTGTGCTACTCTTTCACCTCCAGTGACCTGGGCTTCAAACTGGGAATAAGTGATTCCTTAAAAATGCATGGCTTGGTCTCCAATTCCAACTGCCACCAGCGCTTCGATCAAATAAACATAAGACGGGACTAAATTAGTGACTCAGGCCAAGATTATTATTTGTATTGTGGCTGTGCCTAGGAGCCCAGTCGTGGAGTAGGACCCCATTGTGCAAGACATTGTACAAAGAACAGAAAGGTGGTCCCTGCCCCAAAGAGCTTGCAGTCTAATATATTACAGTACCTGCCCACACTTCACTGGCTCAAGCCCCATTTATCAGAAATAAAGTGGATTGAGAGGAGCCTAAAGTTACTGATTGAAGGGAATGGTTAAAAATTAACCCACATACTTAAAATATGCCTTCCCATGACAAAAGGCCTTTCTCTAGATTATAGGTCATAGAGGAATATGCGCTAGTCAGTGGGACTGGCAATGGGAATTGTTGTGTTTTGTTCCTAGATCTGCTGTGAATAAATCAGTTAACCTTTTTGGGCCTCAGTTTGCCCACCTGTAACAAGGATAATACCTACCATCAGGTGTTGTAAGGGTTATCTCATGCCTGAAAAGTGTGCGGCAATCCTCTGGAGAAGTTCAAGTGGTGGGCCAGTGATTATAAATAACTTGCACCTTTAAAAAAAATAAAATAAAATCAAGGACACCCTACAAATGAGCAGTACAGAACTTAGCAATGTGGGATTTTTCTGCAGAAACAAAACCCTTCAACAAGTGGTTTGATACCCCTCCTCCCCCAAGAGAGAGGCATATTACTGTAATGTTCTGGTGCTGTATAGATGATCGTAACCTTTCCTCTCTGCTTAAGGTGGAGCAGTTTTCCTCCTTAGCAGCATAGCGCTAAGAAGAGCAGCAGAGTATTAAATTTCCCTTAAAAATCTGTGCATAGTGTGCTTTAAGGGGAAAATGCTATGCCCAGGAGCAAGGACTTATACAGAGCGCTATAGAAATGGTAACACTAGGTAAAATTAAACACTGCACGCTTTTACTTGCCGTATGAAGAAACAAGACCTGTAAATGAAAGGGAGGGGGAGAGCTGATGAGGCTTTTCAACCATAGTTTGAAATCTCCATCTCCTGACAGATGTGAATCTGATGGGTTGCAAATGGCATAACAGCAATTTGTTCCATCATTCCTGAAAGTGAAGAATAGCTATGCTTTTTGTTGTTAACTAATATAATGAAAGAAATATGATTGGAGTAAGGCTGTTAGGCGTCTTGTAATGCAGTGTCAGAGCTTGGGGATTGTGGGGTATTAAACCATATTGAATTTTAATAAAGTTTAAAAAAACCCAAACACCTAAAGCTTCCAGTACATAAGTAATGATATGTGCAGATGCTGAAGGTGGAAGAAATACAGTCACTGGATCCTGGTTGGGATCACTTGTATACCTGGAAATGTAAAAGCTGGCAGGGAATGTTCCAGAGTTGTGTGAAATCCACACTGGCCGCCTAGTGCTGTGCTGCGGAAATCTACAAAGCAGATTGTGGCTAAACAAACCAACCTCATTCTATAGAATTTTAAAGTGAGTGCTTTTGTAGCCTAGCTTTGGCTTTTTTGTATAAACAAATTCTGTGTATGTGGGAGCCACTTGCCTTGATGTTGTATCCAAACTGTCTGGTATTGGCCATAATGCTAATAGAAGCAGAGTTGTGCTGAAGAGCTGGCATGGAGCCCAAACTGGTCCTCTCTGTTGCTTCCCCACACAGATTTTCCGTATTTGGTTAGAGTAACTTTCAGAGGACTGTCCTTTTGTTTTTCAGTATTTATTATTAGGATGTCTTCTAAGTCACTGGCATGTGGAACATCCTCGGGTTTGGCATGGAAAAAGATATTGCGCTGATTACATTGGCAAGCTGCCCAGGGGAGCAGTGACTGGCCTTCCTTGTGGCTTGGCAATTTTTAATCCTGCTGTTAATAGTTTAGACAAAAGTATGCCCTAAAATGTGTGGGATCTAGGAAAGAAAAAGTGGAAAAGCAACTTTTGATCTTCTCTTCCCCCCACAACCTTCAAATCAGCTGCATAGTATGGAATCCAGCTTTAAACAGGTGATTTCTATTTGCATGGAAATCAAGAAATCCTGATCACAAAGGAGAATATAGTAGCAGTGATAGTGACTTATTAATATGACAGTGACACCCTTCCAAGATCAGGGCCCTATTGTGCTAGATTCTGCTCCAATACAAGTGAGAGGTGGTCCCTGCTCCAGGAGCAAAAGTGAGAGAGGGAACAGTCACAGACAGATGACTTGTCTATGGTGTAACAGTGGCAGAGTCGGGAATAGAACCCAGGTCTCTTAAGTTCCAGTCTAACACTCTATCCATTGGACCATGCTTGAAATTGTGGACTTTTAGTCTAGAGTAGGCCTTGGTTGTGCTATTACAAGAAAGTAAAGAAAATGTCTGTAGTTTTGAACAAGCACTATATGTGGGTTGGGGGGAGGAGGAGGAGCATCTTCTTACATTTCCCTAAACACAGACTTGCAGCCGTGGTGCTGGAACAATTTGTATAGTGGGGATGCAAGAGCCATTGAACCAAACGGTAAACCCTGTATATCATGGAAACCACTTCAAGCCAGGGAGTGTGGCACACTTCCTTCACCCCTAGCTCCAGCACCTATGACTAGCACTTGGTGATGCAGCCAGAAAAGTTACTTTGCTGTAGACAGAGAATTAGCCTTCCTGGGGAGTATCCTAAATAGGTGATGCACTCAGAAGGGCTGGGCATGTCTATGAGTACTTCATTGGCATTGAGCCTGTAGAAGGAGTTTATAGGAAATTTGTTTTGCTGTATCACTATGATTATAGTGTTCAATTTAGAGTGGTTTGGTTTTGTTCAATATCCAAGTGAGAGAGATCAACAGTGAATGATTCAGAGGTTCCCAATCACCCCCAATAAGCTTTGAGTCTGGTTTAAGCCATTGAGGGGTGGGGAAGCTAATAGAGGTGGCAAGGAAATGTGTACTGTGGTCTTGTTGTGGTGAAGTAGCTCTATGTTTTGCAGCAGAAGTGACTGACCTGCTAGTGCTGGAGTTGCTGGCTCTCTATTCAAATGGGATATCGACCCCTTGGTGGTCTTGCTGGTTCCTTAGATGCTGGATTTTCATCTAGTACAGATTTTTCTGAAATCAGTATTGGTCCCTTCAAAGGACCCATTAGTTGGAAGAGCACCACGGGCGTTGGATCCTTCCCTGCAGAGAATAGAGGCAGCTTTGGAATTGTTATCATGGGCTGCCCAGGAGATTGGCATCCACCCAGTGTGTTGGGCAGGAAAATGTTTGCACCTACAGGTGCACTGTCCTTACCAAATGTAATCCCACTGCTTGCATGCCATAGTGAAATGAGTTAGGCTTGGTCTACACTAAACCCCCAAATCGAAGTAAGGTACGCAACTTCAGCTACGTGAATAACATAGCTGAAGTCGACGTACCTTAGTTCGAACTTACCGCAGTCCACACCCGGCAGGCAGGCTCCCCCATCGACTCCGCGTACTCCTCGCGGCGAGCAGGATTACCGGAGTCGACGGGGAGCACTTCTGAGTTCGATTTATCGCGTCCAGACAAGACGTGATAAATCGAACCCAGAAGTTCGATTGCCTGCCGCCGAACCAGCGCGGTAAGTATAGACAAGCCCTAAGTGTCTAGAGTTCGTTGTGTCTTCAGAACTGATGCAGTTGTGACAGCACCTGAAAGCCCAGTTTTCTGAGTGTGGTTGGAAAGAACTGCAGGGTTCTCAGGGCTGGTGTGTGTATGTGTGTGTGGCGGGGGGAGGGGGGGGGAGTGAAATAAAATATGCAGTTAAGGGGTGTGATCTTCTAATTTCACTCTGCAGTAGTTAGGGGTGTTGTTCAGAATAGAGGTCTCTTGGCAGAGCAGCATGGGGGGGTGTTTACATGATTCTATTACTCCACTTCTGGGTCGTTTTTAACAAATGTACGTTAGAACAAGTAAGCACAAGGATTGTCTCTGCTCAGTGGAAAGATACTGAGGCATACTTTCCAATGAAGAGGTTGGCAAGCTGTTAAGAGAAAATGCACAAGCTTTCAGCTCTATGTGCAGCTGCTGTGAAGAAAGTGACAAGGATGACACCTTGTACTCCTCTCTCAATACAATGTAAATCAAAGGGTTCCTAAATGTATTCACTGTAAAGAAGTGGGTGCTTGTCATTCCAGGTCTGGGGAAGATAAACTCTGACACATTGACTTGTTGTTGTTTTTTTGCTTTTGGGTCAGAAGAAAACTTGTGAATCAGTTTCAGAACAAGGGAGCTATAACATTTGAAATATATGGATTTGTATGCTTTCCATTTTTTCTAGGAGGCATTTAATGTTAGCTCTGGAAATGTTAGTGGACTGATGACTTCAAACTGGAGTTATCCCGTCACCAGGAGTAAAATATTCAGGTGGAGTTTTATGGTGAATGTTGCCATTTATGAATCAAGTTTTAGACCATCAAACGCTATTTCCCCCCCCCCGGTATACAAACCTGTTCAATATTATTATAATTTAAGATATTTCTAATCTTAGAGGTGCCTCTTGTGGATCAAGGCCCTATTGTGCTAGACACTGTGCGAACATAACAAAAATCCCTATTCCCTTCCCTGAAGAATTAGAATCTAAATGTAGGATGAAACAAATGTGGAGGACAAGGTAATAATTAAACAATTGTTTGTATAATAAGCAGCAGTCCTGACATTGAAGCGTTCTTGGGTGTTGCCAGAGGTCATTGTGAAGGGTGTAGAAGCTGC